AATTTATTTATAATTATTAATATTAATAAGAGATGGCGCCTAACGCTTACCTCTAGTACCAAATTCGTTATGTAATTAATATAGTAATTAGCCATAAAACTAGCCCGATGGATTTACGGCGTACGTTTGGAGATTAGCTATTACATCGGGTTTAGCGATGATTGTAGATATATTACGCCTTGCCGGGGCTTGCGATGGCCGGTTGAGTGCCGTATAGGAGTAGGACGTGGGCACTGAATGTGTCCCCAGCCGGCATTGTAATAACCGTCGATGGTTACATAGTTATACGCTGGAAGGGGAGATTGTACTGGAGGTCCGGATAGCGTAACTGGCAACGCATCTGCACGGTAAGCAGGAGTTGTGGGGTTCGAGTCCCGCTCCGGGCCGATTTTTCTCCCAGCGGTTCTAAATTATTTAAATTAATTAATTTATTTATAATTATTAATATTAATAAGAGATGGCGCCTAACGCTTACCTCTAGTGCCAAATTAATTTCGTAATTTATTTAGTAATTAGCCTTAAAACTAGCCCGATGGATTTACAGCATATGTTTGGTGATTAATTAATTTGATATAACAATTTGTAACCAAATGTTATCTTTGAAGATTTACATTTGAAGATTACATTTTATTTTTAAGATACAAAAACCTTATACTATAATTTCTTCTCATATAGATTCCCACAAGTCAATTTGAAAGCAAGTGTGGTTATTTGATGATTTTAATCTTTAATTACAATCTCATCAAACAGCTATTATTCATCTAGTCATCAGATTGTCTATAGAAAATATGAGAAATCCATTGAATGCTGCAGACATTCATTTGTCATTGATTTTTCCAAAAAGGAGCATGTGATGCCTTTAGTTTTCTCCTGTTTATTTTCAGTGGATCAATCAATGCTTTAATTGATGTTATCAGTACAAACTCATACTTGAATACCTACTGTATCTATAAAGCTGATAAGTTTCTAATAATTTTCCCTGTTTATATATAACTTTAAGAAATTATTTAGAAAATTCTGTTTAGAAGCTGAGAGATCAAATATTGAACTCATGTCTATGCATATCTTCAGTATTAGAATATATTTGTGTTGAATTTTTTTAATTTTAGTATTTACTTTTATTATAGATTTGTAGCCTGTGAAACAATTTTTTTAAAACATGTTTTAAAAATTCTAGAATTGAAAATCTTTGGCTTCTGAATGAAGATCTTTTGTATAAACCTAAATTGGCCCATAAACAAGGCTGTAAACATTTGCATTTCAGACAAAATGTTTTAATGTTGGAAAAATGTGGAAGGTTGTCATCAATTCAAATAATTGAAGCTTCTTACTCTAGAACAGGGGTCAGCAGGAGCAGCTCACAAGCTGCATGTGGCTCTTTGCATAGACGTTTGCGGCTCTTCGGACAAACTCCAAATTCATCATATCTCAAGCAGCCTTATAACTTATGAGTTTATGAGATAGAGCTGCCAAACAAACTTTGACTTGTACGACATACTCTCTACCACTCTTTAGCCCGTCCGCACATGCAGTATCCATACGAGTCAAAGTTTGTTTGGCAGCTCTATCTCATAAACTCATAAGTTATAAGGCTGCTTGAGATATGGTGAATTTAGAGTTTATGTCCAAAGAGCCGCANTTGGATTGCAGCGAATTTGCCAACTTTTATAAAAAAATCTTCCTACAGAATCGGAGATTTCAAGTTAGGACAAACACAACTTTATTTAGGCTTTAAACACAAGAAGAAGGTGTTCCTCCAGGTTTTATTTTAGAAAATAAATTGGCAGTTGGCTATGCTGTTAATTTTGATTAGGATCAGAGTATGACTCTGTTTCTAATCAAAATTAACAGCATAGCCAACTGCCTTCATCCCAGTGTGAAACACTCTCTTTATGTGGATGACTCAGTTTTCCTGCCAGTCAAGTAACATGAATTTTATTGAGAGACAACTGCAAACTTCTCTAAATAACGTATAAGATTGGTTCAAGACCAATGGTTTTAATTTTAATACAGAGAAGACCTCGTGCATCCACTTTTGTCAAAGGCGTGTAGTTTGCACCTGGATCCTGAAATTCACCTAAATCAGGGGTCGGCAGGATCGGCTCATTGCATAGACGTTTGTGGCTCTTCGGACATAAACGCAAATTTCACCTCATCTAAAGCAGCATTATAACTTATGAGTTTATGAGCCTCCAAACAAACTTTGACTCAGACGCCATACCACTCTTTAGCCTGTCCGCACATGACTACACTCGCATTGATCGATATGATTTGCATGTTAGTGGTAGCATTTGAAGCATATCTGAATTTGAATTTTGAATTTGAATTTTATATTTGAAGCATATTTAAAGCATATAACCGATTGAATGTGTGTCTGTCTGTCCATGTAACGTTATGCCAAAAATGGCCACTAGAGGCGCCCTGTTGTGTGTCGTATTTCGCACATTTAAATTAACAATATAAATTATTATTTACATTAACAGTAAAAATTACTTTTATTCATTTATTATTATTATTATACATATGTAATATACACATGTATAGGACCTATACATATGTATATTACATATATGCGGCTCTGGTACTTTTGTTATGACAATTTGGCTCTTCTCACTTGACAAACTGCTGATCCCTGCTCTAGAACATAATTTAAAAAGTTTGTTCTTTTTAGTTTCAAGGCTGGTTGTTCTATTTTACATAAGCTGTTCTTAACTGAAAATGGCTCAAAACAAGCTAAAAACTTTTTAAAATAAAAATTAAGTTTGGTAAACTTAAACAGTATGGTCAATATTTGTTCTATTTTGATTTAGTTCTGACAAGATTATTATGATACATATCATGGAACCACTTCTGCATACAAGACTAGTTCATGATGTCTAGTTGTGTACTGTGTTAGGTCAGTATTGTACAGGTTTAATGGTATACTATCTTTTGTCTTCAAGAATTAAAGCTTTGCATATTTGTGATGATTCCCATATTTTGTATAGAAACTTAAGTGTCTGTATTTCTTTGTAGTGAAAATTTGTTATATCTGTGAAGCCTTTGTCTTCCCTCTTTACAAACAGGAGTCAACTTTGCTGTAGACAACATAAGACAGTGTTATGTTTTGTTATTCATGTTTTCCTTTGTAATTGTTCTATAAATGAATATGTGAGTATGAAACAAGTACTGTACAACTAAAAAAAAAAAACAAAAATGTGTGTTTTGCATTCAGCTGTATTGACAATATTCAGTTTAATCTGTTATTATATTCTTTAGTTAGTCTCTTTTCATGTCCTGTATATGTATGTTCTGAAAGTTTGAAATCTTGGAAATCTGTAAACTTTATCCTCATTCATGGATTCAATGACATCTTTTTCTAGTACAAAATTATCTTTCTTCAGTACACTTTTTCCCATGTGAAGTGTTCTACATTTCTCTAGGTCAAACTTCATTTGAATGTCAATGGAATAAATATGTAACTTCTATAGTATACATTGTTTCTCTAGAAATGTAATAAGTCCCAAATTTATATTTTCTAAAAATTGGGAAAATATATATTTTTGAACTTTTCTACCAGTTTTTAGAAAATATAGAAAACTTATTACAATGTTAGTAAAAAAGATTAAAAAGAATAAGTGTTATTATTATATTATTTTCTTAAAACAAATTTATGAAGAGCATGACAGTCTTGCACCAAAGTTACAAATAATAATCATTTCCTGGTTTTGAGAAGTTACTTTCTTTGCTTTTGCTGAAAACAATGAAAACAAACTTCAATATCGAAAGTTCTTTTCACATCTCTATTGAAGTTATTAAAACAAAGTTTAAATTTGTTGCCATTAAAAGGCTTGGGAAAAGAAATGGAGTACTGAAGATAATTTTTCCATGGAAAACATTCAAAATACTTCAAAAGATATTTAATCCTGAATTCTTTCCTGTGAATGTTTTTAATTCCTACAGCACAACAGCAGCAGCAGATTCATGAGCATCTGATAAATGAACAAAAACTTGTTCGATGAAGATTTTTTGACAAAAACATTTCTAGTCCTTTGGTTTTGAAGTCTGGAGAATGCAGCAGCCAAAACAGAAAATGAAGTGTACATATACTGTATATATCAATCATTTCTAATTGATTGTTTCAAAGTATAATTTTTTTGCTAAAGTGTTATAACCTGCATCTTCATTAAGGTTGCATAAAACTTGCTTTATAGCTTCATAGTTTTGTAAAAAGTATAAAGCTATGATTTTCTTCCAAAATTTTCTAAATTACAGTAGAGCGTCGTTTATCCGAAAGCTGGTTATCCAAAACGTCTGTTATCCAAAAGCATTCCAGTCGGCAAATTTAAATTTTCACCAGTGCTGTGGCACTGCAGTCTTTGGCTATGTGTTGGGCTACTCAAATATTTTACGTTTTTGATACGAAATTGACTTCTGAAGTATAATTTTTTATTCTTTTTATATTTTTCAATATATTTATTTTGTTTGTACAAAATAAAAAAATAATTTTTAACGATACAATAGTCTTCGTTAGGCTTAACATCGACGAAAATTCAATGCGAAGCGACACGCAACGGAGAGAAATTTCAACATGGGATAAATTTTAATATATTTTTTTCATACATGATTCGTTATCCGAACCATCCCAGTCCCCAATTGATTCGGATAAATGACACTCTACTGTATTTAATAAATATTAATTTAATTATAATTATTAAATTTAATAAGATATGGTGCTAATGCCTACTTCTAGTGCCAACTTGCTCAGGATGTAATAATTATTAATGGTAATGTAATCCAGTAATCATTTGGCTTTAATATAATCATGAAGTTTTGAGATGTTTATATATGTATTGTTGTACATCTAATTTGTGCTTGTACTAAAGGCAATGCATTCATTTGCTATTTTTTTCTTCCAATTCTCTATTTTGTTTTTGAATTGGATACATTTCATTACTCTATATTGTATCTCTGTCCAAAGTCTTCCTATCTAAATTATCAAAATTTAACAAACAAAGGAAATTACTATTTTGAATAAAATTAGGTTTTTCAAATGCTTGTTTTCATTCTCAATAATTAAAAGTTTATAAAAAATAAGATTCCATTTAATAATTATTTCCTTAATTTATGATGCAAAAGTTACTTGAAAGTATTTATATATATCACAAAATAACTTAAAAATCATTGTATCTACATAAATCTTTTTAAGTCATCATGTCTACTTTTTAGAAATAGTCTACTCTAATGTTCTTATTTAAATGTAAGAGAATGTGATGTATGAGATCATGAGCTTTAAGTGGCTATCATACCTTCTTGACGTTCAAATCCAAAATCAAATACTAATCTCAGATGGCCTAAAATTAATTTTAATTTAATAACTGAATAAATAAAATTTAAAAAATTATNATTCTCAATAATTAAAAGTTTATAAAAAATAAGATTCCATTTAATAATTATTTCCTTAATTTATGATGCAAAAGTTACTTGAAAGTATTTATATATATCACAAAATAACTTAAAAATCATTGTATCTACATAAATCTTTTTAAGTCATCATGTCTACTTTTTAGAAATATTTTATATTTTGATAGAATAGAAAAGATCAATTTCAGCAATTCATCTTTCTCTGAAATTTATAAAAAATAAAACTTAATTTACAAACAATGATAATACTATATTGTCATTTTAAAATTTTCTCATATATAAACAAAAAACAATGTGAATTAAAATTTTTTTGAAATAAGAAAACATGAACAGATAAAAAATATTCTTACAATCTCCACTGCATTCTAAAGGTCCCAGCATGTAACGTCCTTTTTTGTCATCAGTAGTTAAACCTGTATCACCAAATCGTAACTGACGAACTGGTAAATATTCTTTCTGAATAATTTCCCCTTCGTCAATATGCCACTCATTTTTTTCTGCATCACAGTTGCACCACTTATTTCTATTTACACAAGTCCCATATAATCCACAACTGCATTTTCGAGTTCCTGGTAGAGATCCTCCCCAATAATCCATTTTCTGATTATTTCGACTTACCCACCAAGAAAAAGGCAAAAATGGATCTTTCTCTGAAACTAAAAAAAGAAATAAACTTAAGAAACTATTTAAAACATTACTAAAACAGTAACCACAAATATATATTTAAAAAAGATTATTAACTAACTCCATAAATTATATAAATATCATAACTATTTTGTTTTCGAAACCATGTTTTGCGAATATATTGGACTTTGAACTCACATTTGAGTTATAAATAAACACTTGACTTGATTTCCATCATTCAACTAAAATGATGGAAATAAAGCCAAGTGTTTATTTATAACTCAAATGTGAGTTCGAAGTCCATCATAACTATTATTTTTTTTAAATTTTTGGCATTATCATTAGAGAGAGTTTTTGAATTGTTCTGCATAATTTTACAGCTATATAGTTTATAATAAAAAGTCATCTCTGTAAAGGAAGACTATTCCTAGTGATTGTATGTCACTGATGTGAAGATGAATTCAGTTTATTTATACTTTTAACATGTAATAACAAATTATGTTTTTCTCCTTACTGGAGTCATAAAATATACAAAGTTTCCACTTATAGGACTAAATATTTTTAGACCTAAATTTCCAACTTTTGAGTCAAAGCAACTGTACTCTGTTCAAATAGAATACAACTGATTTGACTCTTAAGATGGATGAATAGGTTCAAAAGCATTTAGTCCTATAAGTGGAAACAATGTATATTTTATGACTCTGGTAAGCAGCAAAGTTGGGTGAAAAAGCAAAAAAATTTTCTTCTTCTTTAAAACAAAAATTATATACTTGTATTACTTCAATTGTATTAAAGTTTTATCTTTATGATGCTGTTTGTTTTTGTATTAACACTAGAAATGTTGTTTTTCAAATAAAATGTATAGTTTTTCTGTTCAGACTAGACATAACCTAATTCAATAATATTTATAAATATAGCTTCTCATAAATTTATTTCATTACTTTATTACCTGGAGTATTAAATAAATTTGAATTTAAACATTCATAACCTAGATGTTGTTTACAAATATAGGAACGATTCACTAGCTCCACAATTTGATCCATTTCAGCATTATATATGATATCTTGAATAAAACTTCCTGGTTTCGGGAAACCTTTAACTTCAGTACGATATTCATGCTTGTGATGTAAAATTGTCAAGGCAGGCTCTTCAACTGAAAATATACCGCATTTCAAAAAAGTTATGTTACTAATTCAAAACCTTAATATGTAAATTAACACAGTAGACTTTTTTTTATAGTGACTCTTGATTTAACAACTCACAACAACAAAAAAAACCAAGAAAGAAAGTTTCAGCCATTCCCCATAAGTGCAATGCTGTTTTACCATTGTTATACTGATCCAGTCTAATCTTGTTAAAACAATCATTCAAACACTGAACCAACTATTATGGAGGTAAAAACAAACTGACTCCTAATGCAAAAATATTATCCATAATATTAAACAAATTTGATTTGCTTACACATCAAATAAAAATTATAATTTTGATTTTCTTAAAAATCAAAATAATTTTTTATTTTCTATCATATTTATAATTGTTGAAATTGAGAATCCTGTTTCCTGTAACAAGATTCAAACATTTATCACAATAAAATGTCAGAAAAATAAATATTAGCATTTCACTGTTATTGTTGTTAACTAATTTTCATTTTTATTATTTAAATTAAACATTACATAATTTTTTTAACCTATGATGTTAATAATCTTTTTCTGCACTGGTGAATTTTAAGATGTCTCCTTTTTATTTATTTTTTGATGCTTGCATAGTAAAGAATCTCTTTTAGAATTCCCAAAGATAAGCTATTTCTTTAGTTCGAAAAAACTTGAACCAACCAAGTTCATTAGAACTGAAGAAGTGTAAAGTAAAAGTTTCATATATTAAGACTCTCTCTATTAAAATAGTTTTTCTCCTTTTATTTTTTAAACTGTGTAATTATGTATATTTTAACTATTAACTTTAAATCAGTAAAAAGAAGACTTCATTAGATAATAAAAAATATTTGTTTAAGTCAAAACCTTATACTACTTATTTAAAAACTTTTTCTTACAAGGAAATTCACATGTGACCTTAAATGGTTCTAATGGTCCACTTCCGTCTACATCTATACTTATGTCTATTCTTCCTGAATCTTTATTAGCAAGTTTGTATGCTTCACAGGAAAGAGGATGTTTAGCTAAAAAGAAATCATTTCAGATCAATCAGTAATTTCTATTATATATAAAATAATCCTTAACCAAAAATAATATAATCTATCATAATATTAACATATGTACATAAAACAGAAAAGTGTCAAATTTGACCCTCCAAGATTTTTGCAAATCTACACGTTTGGAGACCTCCCAAACCCCCAAAAAATGTCAATTATTAAAGGGGAAAAATTTGTGTGTATTGACGTATAATTTGTTTAATTTCTTTATTCTCTGTTCTGAGATATTAAACAATAAATATCTCAGAATGGGTAAAGTTTAAGAAATTAAATTTGGCACTGTAGCTTGTGTATAAAGGAGCATTAATGCTATTAAATTTTGGTTCTTAATTAAAGGTTGACAGGGTGAAGACATAGAAGGGATCATGTGTCATATCTCCAGTGTGATCAAACTTAATGAATATTTTACTCATTATTAGCATTCACAATTTTTAAAAAAATATGAAACTCATCTCTACCCCCAAAATTAAGCTTTTTGTCATTTTATTATAGTACAGTAAAACCCATTAAGATATTCTTGCCAAAGATGTTAGAATGTCCATGGGGGCATGATTTAGTTCAACCACTTTGAAGCTTAATAACTCCTGTGTTAAACCATCCAACTCCAATTTAAAATCCACAGAAGTTATTAGGCTTCAAACATGGTGAACAAAATTGTACCCCCCAACCAGTCTAACATCCATACATACAGGAAAAAAAAAACTGAATCTTTTGCATATGTTCACATTTCAAGGTGTCCTGAGTCTAAAACTGTAAAAATTTGGGAGGGGTCATTTTTTTACCATTTGCTGCACTCTTCCTGTTGTATATAACAGCTGCGAAAGTAAGAATTATCGAATACATATTTATATATTGACTGTGTCATTACTTAGAGGAGTCTTTTAGCTTTGGAATATTAGGGTCAGTCAAATGAAAATGAGACAGATGGGAAAAAAGTAAGTAAACTGTTTATTATTTCAAAAGTAATCGCCATAATTGTTAATACATTTATCCCACTATGAAATAAGATGGTCAATGCCTTCATAGAAAAATGTTTGTGGTTTCCTACGGAGCCATGATTGTACCCAGGCGTGCACCTTTTCGTCCAAAACAAATTGACGGCCACGAATGTCTTTCTTCGGGGCTCCGAAACTATGGAAATTGCATGGGGAGAAATTGGGACTGTATGGAGGATGTGTAAGGTCTTACCAGAGAAACTTCTGCAGCGTAGTCTTGGTAACATCTGGGCAGGCATTATCCTGCAAAAGAATGATGCTGTCTGTCAACATTCCTGGGCATTTGGATTCGATGGCATGCTTCAATTTTTGCAAAGTTTCCATGTGGCGCTGCGTTCCAGAAAGTCAACGAGCAGCGGGCCTCCATAGGATGCACACACGACTTGCAGACCTCACTTCAAGCATGTCGAACAGACAAATGGCACAACAGTGAACGTTCATGCTGTTCCTTCCTGATTCACAATTGCTGTACTTCTATACACACACCTACCTGCATTACCAAGTTCCGTGCCACACTTGTTATATAGTCTGTCTCGTTTTCATTTGACTGCCCCTAATATAAAAATTTCTACGTTTTATCTTTATTAGAACACTATTTATTGAATATTTTATTCTGAGGTCACGTGATAACATTGGAATTTCCAGGTCTATTTTGGTAACAAGTCTGCTCCTGGTCGGAGTTGGAGTCAGATGGCAAGACAAAGTCAGAGTTGGAGTCGGTAGATTTTTACATGACTCCACAGCCCTGCATATTACTATGCACATGGTTGTACACTATTGCTTCTCCAACTCAACAAATTTCCTTGATTGCCTTGTTTTTCCTTACTTTTTGACAATTTTTAACAAATTCCCTGACTTTCCAAACACTAACAAAAATCCCTGACTTTTCAGGTGCATAGGAACCCTGACATGATTTCAATACTTTCCCTTGTTATGTATACATACCAGCCAGGAAATAAAAGGAACTGTACTAAATTTCTCACATTGTCATGTACTTCTGAAATATGAATACAGTAGAGCAGCGATTCCCAACCTGTGGTACGCGTACCCCTAGGGGTACGCGATAGGTTGTTTAGGGGTACAGAAAAAAGTTAGTTATTATGGCAGAAAAAATAATATATTATGCATCACAAACTAATAGTATTAAAAAATTATTAGATAAAAAATGTTCCTTGCAACAATCACAACTTTATTATACATTTTTTCTTTTAGGTTTTTTTTCTTTAATTTAAAGTCACAATATGTAAAATTAACAATACGGTTACTCACTAAATTTCTTAAATGAGGGGTACAATCTAGAGATATGACATGTCACGGGGTACAATCTAGAGATATGACATGTCACGGGGTACAATCTAGAGATATGACATGTCACGGGGTACGCTAATGAAAAAAGGTTGGGAACCACTGCAGTAGAGCATCAATTATCTGAAATAATTTGGGACTGGGATTGTTCGGATAATCGATTGTATGAAAAAATATATTAACCTATTCCATGTTGAAATACATTCAAATCCTGGTTCATTTTTAGTACCCTCTCATGGTCGTGCCAGTGCTGCCAGCTAAAACACGCACACCAACAGAACTAATATTAGAGTAGCCCAAGACATAGCCAAATATTGCAGTGCCACAGCACTAGCAGAAATTTAAATTTGTCCACTGGAACAGTTTCGGTTGATTGATATTCGGATAATCGATGCCCTACTGTACCTACACAAATAACGCATAACCAGAACAGTTTCTCTGTAGCTATCTTTAAGCTTACTCAGGGTAACATTAGGCACTGCTATTAACTGAGTAGAACACATCAACCAATAGTAATACAGTCAATTTGCCTTAAAACAAACACTAATAAAGTGAAATCTCACACTGAAGTGAAATTTGCTGTTACCCAGGCAAAATGCTATTGTCACAACATTAATTTTATGTGATAAAACAAACAAAAATTTTTACCAAAATTCATTAAATTGAATTGTAAATTACCCTAAGAAATAATGCAATTTCTTGAAGTAATGACTGTAAATTTAAATTCATAATTTAAAGTGATTATTATCCATATCAAAAAGTGTAAAAAGAAAAGTGGTACTGTAATAAATGTTCTATTTTGAATAGAATAATTTTCTCCTAGTAAGCAAAGATGGGTTTGACCTCCAACTGTAGAGCAATTCAAATATCTGGTTTTAGCAGATCATTCTACTGTGCTCAGAAAATATGGGTTAAAGTTTAAAGATGATCATCCCTTTAAATAGATGCAGTCCCATGCAAACACATGCCAGTTGCATATAGGAGGGGTGCATATAGTGATGCTAAATTTGGCTCCTCTCACTCTTGGTGCCAAAAATATTTTCTACTTTTGCAAACAAACTTCAACAAAAAAAAGGTCATCGGTTTCTTTTAACTTCGGGTCTTGTTTAATCACTCTGATATACTGCTCAAACAAATGAGGAGGAGACAATATTCACTTAAACAGTGAATATTGTCTCCTCCTTTGTTTGATTTAAAATAAGTGTAATCTAGTCTCAGTTTAATGTATATTTAAAATTAAATTATTAAACATTTAATAGCAACCGAATTGAAACTGTACCTATGTGACAAACTTCTCCAACATATCCATCTGGACAAACACAGAAAAAATCTTGAGAATTTTGTTTACATATACCACCATGTTCGCATGGATTAGGATTACATCTGTAAAAATTATTTAAAATAAAAATTTATTTATTTGAGGTGGCTATTGTAATACATAAACAAACTTTGTAAATAAATTTCATAAATTATATGTTATAGGACTTTTAACAACAAAAATTTTTTTCCAATACCTACCTCCACTATGCTTATAAGTTTATAAACAATCCAACATTACAGATAGTGTTTGAGCAATAACAGCCATCCATCACACCAAGCCCAACAGTTCCCAGTCATAATTTTCACAGATAGTTTATCCATCCTGAGTGCATTACACCAAGAGTGACAAGATTTGGAGAACTATGATCTCCCCATCATAGTCCTTCAAATTTTGTCACTCTTGGCAAAGATCATTACTGCCAAACAGCTTACCTGAACCCCAGCAATGGTGGGTTGACATCAATGGGAGAGGACAAACAGAAGGCCACTGGATCCATCATAGGATCAATCCTCCACAGTGTAACTCTACTCAAAATATTAAACCCAAGATTGGAAAACTGACTAACTACAGCCTGACAATACTATGAGTTGCCTGGGATAAGATACATAGAAAGTGTTAACTGCTGGTTATCCGTTCAAAGCATCAACCATCACATGAAGCACACTATCAGCTGAGCAAACAAGAATGGCACCTCTAAGTGCATTCTTACATTCACAGAAACAAACAAGCTCACCTGTGTATACTGCAATCAGCCCAAAACTGTTAAACATTACCTGTTACAGAGCTCACACTACACCATCCATGCCAAAGGCTTCTCAGCACACTGAACCTGACCACCAGCATGATATAACATCAGTCCCTCAATATCAGTCCAATCACAAGCATATCATGGTAATAGAAACCTATATCCAGTCCACTCATTGACCTCATTAAAACATCCCCAGATATGTAGCTCAGAAGAAAAGAAAAAAGCCATAACCGCTATAGGGAAAAGAAGAAGATATAGTAAGCTTCACTTCTGTTGGTTAGTGTGCAGCTGCTGAATTGTGAGTTACCAGTGCTGATTAAATGTTTTTCTTCTGCTAGATTATTTTCTGTAATCAGGTTAATTGTTTGAGATTTTGAATAAGCTGCACACCCTAAATGTAGAAATTCCCAAAATCAATAAAATACTTTTTTACTGGAACCACACAAATAAAAATCAACACTTTTAAACAATCCAGCAAATCGTTTTTTAATATCTTAAAAACGCTTTCGAACGCTTTAAGCGATCATCATCAGTTATCTTTGTGAATCGAACGAAGAATCGAAATTACATAAAACGAAAATTTCAAAAAGCGGTTACATAAATATACATTAACATTTACCAAGCTTAAATAATTGTAAGAATTATACAAGTTAAAACAAAATAAAGAAATAAAATACATTATATACATCCAATAAAAATTATCTTAAATAATCTTCCCGCTTACATAAACTACGTCACTCATCGTAGAAGGATTTCCATGCCGACGACAATCCGTCAGCATCCCTATGATTAATACAGTTTGTGTGCATTTGCGCCTTGTGAATTTCTAGTTTTTCCAGATGTTTCACGGCCTGCCTGGATTCTGTAGCTTTAATGATCGATGCCCGATCCCAAAAGACTTCGATATTCTGCTGCTTGGCAAAGGCCACAAGCACCGTAGAGTCTATGTTTTTATTCACTGAGTGCTTATGTTCAGCAATTCTTTTCTTTCAGTTTCTTATGGTTGCTCCTATGTACACGAGATTGGTGTTAAATCTACGGTCTTTTAATGGTATAGAGTATACTCCTGCCATCGCGTTGCATTCGTAATTGCCTTTATCGTTCCTTAAGAACCTGTATACGATGGGATTACATTTGTAAACTATCTGTACATTCTTATCTCTGGTAACTTTCTTAACCATTCCTTTTAGGAATGGTATGTAATTGAGTATGATTCTTTCTTTATGTTGATTCCCTCCCTGAGAGGGGTGGCGCTTCCGACAATTCGCAATGAGAGCATCTATTCTTTCTCTACGGTACCCTTGCTGCATTGCTATGTTTCTTATATACTCTAATTCTTTGTAAGTGTCGCAGACGCTTGTGCAATGTGTGTGTGCCCTCCTTATCCTTACGAATGCAACGCGATGGCAGGAGTATACTCTATACCATTAAAAGACCGTAGATTCCAATCTCGTGTACATAGGAGCAACCATAAGAAACTGAAAGAAAAGAATTGCTGAACATAAGCACTCAGTGAATAAAAACATAGACTCTACGGTGCTTGTGGCCTTTGCCAAGCAGCAGAATATCGAAGTCTTTTGGGATCGGGCGTCGATCATTAAAGCTACAGAATCCAGGCAGGCCATGAAACATCTGGAAAAACTAGAAATTCACAAGGCGCAAATGCACACAAACTGTATTAGTCATAGGGATGCTGACGGATTGTCGTCGGCATGGAAATCCTTCTACGATGAGTGACGTAGTTTATGTAAGCGGGAAGATTATTTAAGATAATTTTTATTGGATGTATATAATGTATTTTATTTCTTTATTTTGTTTTAACTTGTATAATTCTTACAATTATTTAAGCTTGGTAAATGTTAACGTATATTTATGTAACCGCTTTTTGAAATTTTCGTTTTACGTAATTTCGATTCTTCGTTCGATTCACAAAGATAACTGATGATGATCGCTTAAAGCGTTCGAAAGCATTTTTAAGATATTAAAAAACGATTTGCTGGATTGTTTAAAGGTGTTGATTTTTATTCCCAAAATCATTATTAGAAAACATTTCAGTTGTAATCATCTTAAAACAAAATTTTTTACATATAAAATATGAGAGAAGCAATGACAAATTGCAGAGACAGTGTCTGCTATAAAATTATGGACAACTTCTCAAATAAAGAAATAAAGATGCTGAATTTGAACTGTTAAATAAAGTAAAGTAGAGTCCTGAAAATTTGACTTAATGTGGACCGACAAGGTGATGAGTTATTGAAGATGACAAGTTTTACAGCAAAGTGACAATGCCAGACTAAATAGTAAAATTTTAATAAAGGTATTTTATGTTCCAATTTGTATATGTATTAACTATGTACCAATACTGACTATTATTATTTTCAGTTAAATTTTAATTTAAAAGAATAATGGCTATTCAGTGCCTAGTTTTGAGTTAGTAACATTTGCATCATGGCATTTTGCAGTGCCACCTTTGAAAAAGGGATAAAAATTTTTTGTTATTATACGGAATTGATGCTATTATCAAGTGTTTCCAGAGAATATAACTTAACACTAGGATCAAATAATTTATCATTAAAATTAGATTACTTTTTTTGACTGACATGAGTTTTACAGATTGACAAGTTATCAAGAGTTGAGTTTCCAGGACTCTACTGTAAATTATTTTTTTGTGTACAAATATATTAATTTAACAAAGTATTTATCAAAAAATATCCACAATTTATTAAAATAGTTACATCATTTTAAACATTTCTTTATTGAAAAGAAATCAAAATCATCTGCTTTAAAATTAATGAAAGAATTATTATACTTGCCTATCAACCATATTACAAGCATCAAAAATAATTTTATCAGGAGAATCAGTGTCTGCAAATAAGCGATTTACTTGTATTCGAGTTCCAAACATTGAAATAAGTCTCATGCATCCAATAAATCCTTCATTGCTAGTTTTATATCCTAAAAATAGCATTCATTACAAAAATCATTAAAATAAGATATTAAAAAATTTTCATCATCAAATACATACCACCAAAATAGTTATATGCTCCCGTCATCAATGAGAATTTTCTAGTAGTAATACTTGGCTTTCCATCAACATGCAATTCAATTTTATTTGTATTTAATAAAATCTTTATGGAATGCCATTTTCCATCATTTAATATTTCTACAAAATAAAAATATATGATAAAATTTTATTCAATTAATAACTTATGTAAGAATGAAAATTAAGTAGTTATTTTATTTGAATTGATTAATTAAATAATAATATAAAATTTTATTATTTTTGAATATTTTAATATAAATCAGACTGATTCCATGGTTTTCATAATAATTTTTAATTATGGAGTAAGAATATCTCTCTTCAGAAAGAACAAAAACACAACTTTAATTCAAAGTTTATTTGTGTGTATCATTTTTAAAGCCAATGATTGTTTACATTTCATATAAAATAACCTGTTTCCAGATATATATTTTAAAAAAATTATTTTACTGTTTTATTATTTTTTCAAAACTGTTCTAAAAATTTGTAAACACACACTATTATTTTATTTATTTTAAATTTTACATTATCTCTCCCTCTCCATTAAATGTGGTTAAAGGGTCCTAAGAATTTGTTTCCAGATTTAAACTAAATATTACATAACAAATACAAAATTACAACAGGAATTTTAACAATCTTATCTTAGTCAAATGCAATTATATACAACAATATCTCCCTACACTAATTGAAGAAAGTTAAACAATTGTCAATATTAATTTACTATTATTATTATAATTGATAAACTTACCATCAAATGGCTCAATTGTTATAGCTTTGGGTGTGTCCTTTCCTTGAATCTCAATTTTAATTTTTCCTTTATCAAGGAATAACTACAAAAAAGTTTCATAATTAATAGTCAAAACATATTCTTTTTAACTTTTAAAATCCATTTAAATCAGTATTTCAATTATACCTACAAATATATTTTATGTTCACAAATAATGCAATTTTTATTTTATTATACAGTATGTATTTTATTTATGGTTTCATGTTTTAATTTATTAGGGCATTTAACTATGTTACTTTTATCTTAAATTATGTGTATTTGTTGTTTTAAGTTTATTGAAATGAATATTATTTGAGATCTGGAAATGGATTAATTCACTTTCATTATTTCTAATGGGAAAAATTGATTCAGACTATGAACAACTTCCTAGAACAAATTAAATTCAAAGTACAAGGCACCACTGCATTATTGTTTTATTTGTACATATATTTTTGTTGGGTCTTTACTTTTTATTTTGTTACATTAGGAGAGTTCTTTCTAATTTTTTTATGAACCTTACTTATGTTTATAAATAAATATATAAATAAAAAAGTAAATAAATTTATATAACATAATATTTGTTAAGCTTATTGTTTTATTCTTGTTTAAAATTATTTTGTTATTATGTTTTTTTTTATTGTTATTAGAGTTATATTTAAGATAGTTTTATTTATTACTTTGACATCATATGAAGTAAATTAATTAGTAAATAGATACTTACTTTTACAAATCCATCAGATGTAAAATCATTATAATATAATATTCCATCTTCATTAAAAGTTCTCATCTCAAAACTAGTATCCAGCTGTGGTTGCATGCTACCGAGAATTTTAATACTGGCAGAAGAGGTCCTGAAATTTACTGGATATGTTTTCGTGTACTAAATAAAAAAACATTTAAATTTATTCAAAAAATATTGAAATAATACTTACTTAGTATATAAGAAAAATTAAAAATCAAATAATAAATTTCATACAAGTATAAAAAAAATTCATGTCTACAGTCTTAAAATAATTTACTTACAGATCCTGAAATAAAAATCACATTTTAATTTTATGTATTTTAGGGCCAGTTGTATAAATTACCACTTATATTATTAAATAACTCTCTATAGAATAAATTTAACCCTGTCACTAATCTAAAAACTAAACTATACTCATTACATGAGTTAGATTAACAAAGTTAATGATAGGAACAAAACAGAATTGTTAATTGTTTTAATTAAGTTTTATTTTCACATTCAATACCTATAAAAAACAATAATATTACTTAAAACTCTGTATTGTGTGTGCTTGCACATAAAATTGAGAAATATCTAATGATTTTAAAACATTTTTAGCTTTAAAAACTAAATTGATATCTGTTTATCAAATACTTTATGTAAGACATTCCGCAGTTTGAAATTTTCAACAAAATATAACAAACATACATTAATATTGTTTATAAAATAAAAAATTATAATATTTATCTATCTTTCAATTTACTAAATAACTCATANCTGTGTGAGTTTTCAAAACTGTTCTAAAAATTTGTAAACACACACTATTATTTTATTTATTTTAAATTTTACATTATCTCTCCCTCTCCATTAAATGTGGTTAAAGGGTCCTAAGAATTTAAAGTTTCCAGATTTAAACTAAATATTACATAACAAATACAAAATTACAACAGGAATTTTAACAATCTTATCTTAGTCAAATGCAATTATATACAACAATATCTCCCTACACTAATTGAAGAAAGTTAAACAATTGTCAATATTAATTTACTATTATTATTATAATTGATAAACTTACCATCAAATGGCTCAATTGTTATAGCTTTGGGTGTGTCCTTTCCTTGAATCTCAATTTTAATTTTTCCTTTATCAAGGAATAACTACAAAAAAGTTTCATAATTAATAGTCAAAACATATTCTTTTTAACTTTTAAAATCCATTTAAATCAGTATTTCAATTATACCTACAAATATATTTTATGTTCACAAATAATGCAATTTTTATTTTATTATACAGTATGTATTTTATTTATGGTTTCATGTTTTAATTTATTAGGGCATTTAACTATGTTACTTTTATCTTAAATTATGTGTATTTGTTGTTTTAAGTTTATTGAAATGAATATTATTTGAGATCTGGAAATGGATTAATTCACTTTCATTATTTCTAATGGGAAAAATTGATTCAGACTATGAACAACTTCCTAGAACAAATTAAATTCAAAGTACAAGGCACCACTGCATTATTGTTTTATTTGTACATATATTTTTGTTGGGTCTTTACTTTTTATTTTGTTACATTAGGAGAGTTCTTTCTAATTTTTTTATGAACCTTACTTATGTTTATAAATAAATATATAAATAAAAAAGTAAATAAATTTATATAACATAATATTTGTTAAGCTTATTGTTTTATTCTTGTTTAAAATTATTTTGTTATTATGTTTTTTTTTATTGTTATTAGAGTTATATTTAAGATAGTTTTATTTATTACTTTGACATCATATGAAGTAAATTAATTAGTAAATAGATACTTACTTTTACAAATCCATCAGATGTAAAATCATTATAATATAATATTCCATCTTCATTAAAAGTTCTCATCTCAAAACTAGTATCCAGCTGTGGTTGCATGCTACCGAGAATTTTAATACTGGCAGAAGAGGTCCTGAAATTTACTGGATATGTTTTCGTGTACTAAATAAAAAAACATTTAAATTTATTCAAAAAATATTGAAATAATACTTACTTAGTATATAAGAAAAATTAAAAATCAAATAATAAATTTCATACAAGTATAAAAAAAATTCATGTCTACAGTCTTAAAATAATTTACTTACAGATCCTGAAATAAAAATCACATTTTAATTTTATGTATTTTAGGGCCAGTTGTATAAATTACCACTTATATTATTAAATAACTCTCTATAGAATAAATTTAACCCTGTCACTAATCTAAAAACTAAACTATACTCATTACATGAGTTAGATTAACAAAGTTAATGATAGGAACAAAACAGAATTGTTAATTGTTTTAATTAAGTTTTATTTTCACATTCAATACCTATAAAAAACAATAATATTACTTAAAACTCTGTATTGTGTGTGCTTGCACATAAAATTGAGAAATATCTAATGATTTTAAAACATTTTTAGCTTTAAAAACTAAATTGATATCTGTTTATCAAATACTTTATGTAAGACATTCCGCAGTTTGAAATTTTCAACAAAATATAACAAACATACATTAATATTGTTTATAAAATAAAAAATTATAATATTTATCTATCTTTCAATTTACTAAATAACTCATACAAATTTAAAAAGTATCCAAAATTTCAAGAGTTTTCTTCAATATTCAAATTTAGTATATATTTTTTAAATCATTTTCAGCACAAAAAATTTGTGCAAATTATTATTTTTTAAATAGATATTCATATGGATTAGCTATTATGCAGATATTTTTTGAAATTTTGAGTAATTTTACTGAAATATTATTAAATACTTCGCATGACTTGCATCCATATATTTTAGTGAAATGCCAAAAATGTATTATAAAATTATCAAAAATTAAAACAAAAAATTTACCCAACAGGAGTAAGTAATTCCATACTGCTGATAGGTAAGACCTCTGTCATGTGGTAATTCTTCAAACACATTAGTATCATTAATAAAAAAGTTTTCCATACATCCAGTAAAATTTTTCTTAACTACCAAACCCTCTTGATTAAAATTGGATAAGCCACCAATAAAAATCTGAAAGTCAGAAATAAGTAACATTTTAAAAATATTAAAATTAAAAATTATTATAATTTTGTTTTAAAATTTATTAAAGAAAATTTATGATTAAATAAAAACTAATACTAACCTAAATTTTTAATTAATTTATAAATTTTATAATTACATAAAAGTACATTTGACTATAAGAGATATGTAATGAGTTGTGTAACTGTCCATTCTGCATTTTCTTATCAATACTAGCAAAACAAATTATTCAATGAAAATTAATTTGACTTTAGACATTAAACATCAACAACTTCATAAATACTGTATTAGCCAATCATTATCTGTTGTTCTCGATACATTCCATAATTGAATATATTTCTTTGAGAAACTGAAACATTAGATATGAATATGTCAAAAAATATTTTGAATTTATTATTTTCTACCAAACGCTTCCAATGTTGATATAGTTTACTATTAAATGTCTTCAAATAACTTTCAAAATATAGAAAACTCAATCAGTATTGCTCAAAACATCAGCATCGCAATCATATATTCTCTTCAGTTCATTTTGATCATGTATTTTGAAATGAATATATCTTAACAATTAAAAGCGTTGCGTTTATTCCATTCAAAGTAGTATTTTTCAAAATTATGTAATTTCAATTATAATGCTGTAATCTGAGATTACAGAGACTAGTTCTTAAGTTATAGGCACTGATCTGTGCGGATATTTTGTTCAATAACACGAATGCATTTTACACTAATGTTCCATATATTTTCAATATGTAATAAAAGTAAGACTAGTGTTTCTTCCATAAATATTAAAGGGTATGTCAGTTCCATTGTAATGTGAAACAAATTAAACTCAATACAAAATTACTTATATCTTATTTTATTTAATTTATATTTTAAACTTTAATTTTTATAAGCAGTTCTGGTGTTCCCATTAAATTCCTTTTCAAATGACCACAGAGAAATTATAATCCCAAAGTTAATGGTCATATGATCTACTTATTATAAGAAACAATGTTGCTTACATTGCATCTTTCTTTATTGTTTCTCATATATCCATTGATATTCTTATAATGTTGTGTCCCACTAGCTAATAGCTTTTTACAGTCTAAATAAAATATACCTTCAATCATTCTAGTTTAGTTATGGATAGAAATTATATATCTAATTCAGTAATTCTGAACCACCACCAACAGGAATCTATGAAATATAACTTTAGTGGCTTATGTTATCCAGCAGAAAGTGTAAATTAAATTGGGAGGATGATAGGATTGTAAAACTAGCCAAAGACTAACTTGCTTAGGCACTGGGAGATATTTAGAGATATATAGATATATATACGACCTTGAATATATATAGAGCCAGCAGAGATTCCAACTGTATTAATTACTGCAATGCAGACTTGCTACTTATGGTGTGGAGGTCTCTTTATGAACTCTAATGTGGCCAGGATCATTGTTATGTGCTTCATAATTTATTAATTTAGTATTCTTTAAATTAGTTATTATTTATATAATTTTGTTATTTATTGTTAATTACATTTACTTTTAATTTCTGTTGTATTTAAAATTTATATTTGTTCTATCTTTTACTTTTATATTTATTCTATTTTGTATTTTGAATGTGCTTTTCATTCAAAAATATTCTATATTTGAATGTTTAACTAATGAATACCTATAAACTTAGGTAAAAATGTTTTCGTTTATTGAAATTGTCACAGGAGAATGTTTTAAGGTGTGAAATTTATTACTCATGATCATTCAAATTCCAACTGAACATTCCAAATTCAAATTCTATTTCACCAAGTAATTTCTTGTACAGTTATTTTGTACTTAAATTGAAAACATTTGCTCAAAATATTATTTTTCTTTATTAAATGTGTAATATTAATATTAGAAAATTAGTACATTTCATATTAATAGTTATATTAAATGTAAAATGTATTTATGTAAATTTAAATACATTAATTAAATGAAGTGTAACCTGAAAAGTCTTTATATTATGTCACAGTGTTTATGAAATTTAAAAAATTAGTTAATGGTTAAAATAATTATTTTTAAATTAATATGTTATTTAAGCTTTGGAAAAAATTAAAAATTTGTGTTTATATGCTATATTTTTTATTTAATATTCTTCTTACAAAAATTAGAAATATAAAATAATAACTTTTTTAAACTAAATATTAAAAGTTTTATGCATTACCTCTCTATTTAAATCTAAATGTGAGAAATCTCCTCTTATCTTATCTTTAACAACCAAACGATCCACAGTAAATGAAATTTCTCTTTTATCTCGAATAATTGATACATCATGCCATAAGTAATCATCTAAAAGACTTCCCACAGACATGCTTGTTGGAATTCCTCCACCTAATTTAAATATTTTGATATTAATTGTATTTTGTTAAACATTACTGTGATTACTTTTATATTTTTTAATTTCCTTTTAATTTGTTTTAAAAATCATAATATATAGTATACAATTAAATAGTTATATAAATATTAAAATACAAAATCAAAATTTAAGAGAGACTTATAAAGCAAAATAGAGTAAAAAACAAAATTTTATGAAAATAAAGATCTATTTGTTCTCTGTTCATATTTCAAAACAAGAGAAGTGAGCATACACTCTTAGTATCCCAGTTTAAAAGTATGACACCAATTAGCTAAACTCAAAAACATTCAATGAATGCTTTTGCAGGCTACATGGTGGATAGGTTGTAATACATTTTATTTTAGCAATAATTAAGTTGCCATGTTGTATTAAATTTAATAATTAGAATAAATGAATTATCGTGACAGAAAATGAATAACAAAGTGGGACTTCTGATAAAAATGTTTAAAATATTCATTTTTAAGCATTAACTCAAAAAATTTCGTATTTTATTTTAAAATATTTAGATATATATCATCGTGTTGCATGCCTTTTATCAACTCTAATAATAAAAACGTTAGAAACAAAAAAACCGAAACATCGGTTTTTTTGTTTCTAATGTTATTAGAGACATAGATAGCATAGCTGTTTATTGCCAATAGGTTTAGCATATTATAAAACATGCATAGTGGCATAGTGTGAACTTGCTTTATTAAATCAAATTACTGTTTAAAAAACATTAGGCAAAAATCTATTTTATTAAGGTCACCAAAAATTAAAAAATTATTTAATAATAATTTAAATTATATATGAATGTTATTTAATTAATAAAAAATAGATTTATATACTGCAGAGTTTATAAAAATTAAAATTAATTGATAATGACATCATCTTTAGTTTTGATTCTGTTAGTAAAATGGCATAAAATTTTGCTGTAGTATTTTGTTTTGTTTATAAACATGGTAAAACAATTTTAGTTTTTTAAACATATATAATTATTCTAATCAACAAGATTCACTTTACAGCAATAAAAAAAAAAGGCAAAAGTTTAAATTAATTAAATTAAATTAAAACTAACTAGCATTATAATTAGCAAGACAAGTTTTAAGTATCAAGACAACAGACTTTAGAATCATCATTGATAATGAACGGTTAAAGTTCATTTCTGAATGAAGACTATAGATATATTATAATTGTAAATTTACTGATCATTGTGTTATTTATAATTTGAATAGTACACTGTAAATTTATTAACACATTTATAACTGCATCAGTTATCAAAATAATGAAGACATTATTTGCCATAAAAATTTCCTTAAATATTTTTAGTAGTAGGAAGTATTACAAGGTGGCAACATTAATTCTCCTCAACCAATAATAGTATACAATGTAGAAATCCATTCTATTTTGTAGATGAGGTTTTCTATTATGAAATAATCTAATTTAATGTGTTCTTTCCCCAATAATAAAAAACTTCTGCTGTCATGGCAATTGACTAATCAGGTAAGGCTACAGCATATCTTCAAAAATATATTCAAATTACAAACACACTTCTGATAAAATTCTATTTGGAATTCTCTTGTGTCAAATTGTTCAAGCAAGAAATTCTTATTTCTTGTCCTTAGTACCGATTTATTATTGTTGATTTTTCTTTATAAATGTTAATTATTTTAGCTTATTCTATTTCTTTCCTGCGTAACATCCACAGCCTATAAACAAAGTGTTTACATCCTGTCACTTTGCTGTGACAATATGTTTATGAATGAAAAGTTAGTAGCATAACTGAAACAATTGTTTTTTTTTTTTAAATTCCATCAAATATATAGTGAATTTTAAAAACAGAAATAAATACAGACATTTAAACAGCAGAATTTAAATGACAGCACATTACAAGAGCTGAATCAAATGACTGGGTTGTCCCCAAAACTGATAGGTATACTATTCAAGGCATGGGAAAAATATTACATAAAAAATTTTTTTAGTTCGAAATAGGAATCAGATGGGGACTAGTGTCCAGTTCAAATTAAGAAGAAATTTGAATTATAAGAGTTCAAATTAACAAGAGTCTACTGGATTTATAGAAAAATAATTGTTAAGTATTTCAAAAATTATTTCTTGAAATTTTAAATTATTCTCTCAAAATCAATTGAATTGCACTTGATCATTTCATTCTGGTTTAAGATATAAAACTACAGTTGACCCCCCTATAACACTGTTGATTTTTCCGTTTTATATGAATTCCATGTTGTACGAGTCACTTAGATTTTACAAATATGTGAGCCGTTCACAGCCCGGCACATGTATTTGTAAAATCTAAGTGACTCATACAACATGGAATTCATATAAAATGGAAAAATCAACAGTGTTATGGGGGGGTCGACTGTATATGCCAAAATTAGTTTTTGTCAAGAATGAAAAACTCAAGACCAATAAAATTAAAGACTAAAAAAATCTAAAAATAAACCCATTCATGAATCACAGAAATTATATATATCAGCAATTTTGATTTCAAAATTATAAAATTAAATAAGCTATTCTATCAAATTGAATTAGCTACTTACCTAAATCAATATTTAACAACAGCTGATTATCAATCAATTGTAAAGCAAGAATATCTCCTTGAGTTCCTCTGCTATATAAAATCACTCCTCCCATGTGATTGGTACGAAATCTGAATTGAATTTTGTCTTTTTGTGACATTACTGGATATCTCTTAAGATCCTTAACGATATAACTATTTCCATCAAAATTAACAGTGTGGGACACTAGTAAAAAAATGTATTTATTAAAAATTTGCAAAATATTGCATAAGTTCAATAAGTTAACTAAATAATAAATGTTAATACCATAAAGACATCCATATAATTCTATTCTCATAGAAATACGATCTCGCCACCTGGTAGGATTTATACGAATCCATCGTGCAATAATTGGGGTATCAAAATAATTTGTATGAACACTATCACCATCAGTGTTTCCTTTAAAAAGCTAAAATAAATATTCAATACATTAAAATCTTAACAAGGTCAGCATATTTTTTTCATAATACAACAAAAACTAAAATTTCATTACTAATAGAATTTTAAATACAGAAATTGATCTATTGTTTGATTAAATTTTTGACAAAAATAAATAATTTTCAATAAGTTAGCATGTATTTACTCAGTGTAACTTTTTGAAAATATCATACTTCAGCTTTCTATTAACCAACATTTTCTTTTTAATAAATTGTTTATACAATTTATATAACAAAATATACTCTTTATATTGTTTATTTATATAGTTTAAAATACTTAAAATTTATAAAATCATTCGCATAAACATGTATACCAACCAAATAGGAAATAATCACATTTATCCATGATACAAATTCACTTTTCATAAAAAGTACTTTCACTTTTGAAATGTGTATATACTAACAGAATATTAAAATTTAATGGTTAAATATCTACAATAAAATGACATCAATTTATACAATGACAATAAATAAAATGTCACTTTCTTTAGATAATTAGTCTTTTAATTACAAATCTTAGAAATTTTATATTTTAGGTGTCACAAGACTGCTAAAATACAAAGAATGTTTTTGTACTTAAAGTATACTTTATACATAATTTCTATTTAAAATAGTCATTTTTGAATTTAATTTGTTCTGTTTGACTGCCTGAAGACACTTTTGATAAATGAATCTTATAACTATTCATCTGTTAACAATTTTATACTACGAGTTACAACTCAAAAACTAACATTTTACAGACCATCTTCAATATTTAAATTTTTGTTATATTTAATAGTAATATTCATAACTAATTGATCAAGTTTTTCATTGATTTATGTACAGTCAAATCTAATAAAAAATTCAATGTAATTACTGTAACTTCTCCAAACAGCATGCACCAGAATATTGCAAAACTTCCTCAGAACGTGCAATTCTGTAGAAGTGCTACAATACTGCTATATAAATCATACCACTAAAATTTCCATGGAAAATAACTTACTGGTAGATAGTTTAGACAAATTTATCTTAGACTTTGTTTTTGTTTCTTTCATTTTAAATCTGTGAGGAATCTATTGTAAACAAATTTATAATTTAAGTGATACAAGATCAGAATATTTGAGATAAAATTATCTAGACTGACAGTATTGAAAATAATAAATGGTATCAAAAAACGACAAAATTTTCTGTTTCGTTTTTATTTTCTAATTATTAAATAATATTAATTTAATTAATTAAATAATCAACTTAAATTAATCCTGGGAACTTTCTGAAAAAAACAAAAACAAATCACTATTTGTTAAGTCATCATTGCAAATTTCACTTTTTTTTTTTTTTTTTGCAGGAAGTAGACATGCAAAGTCACAATTGTTACTTTGACCACATTTGAACTTTTCCCCCTTTTTAACACTGAAATAATATGTAGAAACATTTGCATCTCAAATATTCTAGTTTAAAGCAATTTTGGCTTTATGAAATTTGTTTCTGAAAATTACTTATTTTGAAAAACTTAATTATATAATTTCATTTACAATAATATACCTTTCTTCATGATATGCTAAATACGGTCCTTAGTTAAATGTTTTTGGAAAATGCCAAATTTGTGAAAATTTTTATGAATTTTTGCTTTGTTTGAGACCTCATACTTTCCTAAGGGTAAACACTTTCATTTTTTTTCTAATAAATTTTTGAATTCATGGAAATGCAACATTGCAATTTCAAATGAAAGAAAAGCAAAGCAGAAATGTTTTTATCAATTATCTTTATTTTTCAAAAATTAAAATAGCAATTTTATAAAAAAAATCAAATAAAAATGAGGAGAACTTAACTTCTTTTTTTGCCTTTAGTATTACCTTGGCAATGCTGCTATTGTGGTAACATGTGGTATGCAAATCATTACACAACAGAAGCTAGGAGGAGATGGAAGAGCAATTACAAGTAACGTCATTGTTTTCTTTATTGAAATTTTTTATTTCAAAAGAAAAGCTAATTTTGAAAATTCTCAAATGCTTTTTCATATTTTTAGGATTTAAATAACTCTGGAATGTAACACATTTGAATTACCATTCAGTTTATTAGGGAAGGCACATGTCTTCACTAAAACAAACAACTTTTACTTCCTACAAAACTTCATTGTAAAAAGGCATATAAAAAAATTAAAATGTAAACAAATGAGTAAAATGTTACAATTTTATGGAAAATTTTGTTTCTGAAAAATAAAAAAAGTGTCTAAATCTAGTTCCAGTCAAATCAAATATATTGAATTGGTCAAGAATAAAATTTTCTTTTTATTACTCATTAAAACTTTTTAAAATTTCTTAAAATATATTCTGATAAAATAAACTGATAAATTAAATTGATTAAAATAAACTGATCAAAATGTTTGTCAAAAGCAAATAAAATAAGATAGGCATAAAACAAATGAACAAGATATCTAAAACTTACAGTAACTTGCACTTGTAAAATAAATACACACAAAAATCTAGTTTTGTTACAATCCAATAAATCATATGCAGAAAAGAAAATTTGTATTTTTGATTGCTTATTTTAAAAAACAAGGATATCACTTCAGATATTCTTTTACCTTTTTACTGTGCACATGGTAGCAATTTTCAATCATTTCCATAACTAGTCAAATGCTCAAATTGTGGAGAAAAAATGAGACCAAATTTTTTTTCACCAAGGACTTCCAGAAACCAACCAAAGGTACTACATACTTAGTAGTATCTGATTGTTTCAAGCAGATACTATTTGTATTCACTACAGCACAACTTCTCTTGTCACATCCATCATGTAGCCATGCACCTGTCTGTCTGTTCTGTTGTGCACATCCATCATGTAGCCATGCACCATGTATGTCGCACCTTAAGGATGAAGCATGTGATCCAGATATACCATAATTCAAGAATATCCTCTTTCATGCACTTTATCCTTAGTCCATTGAATATGCTACGTTTTTACCTTCATCAGAAGAAAATAAAAATGTAGCATATTCAATGGATCAAGAAACATGTCAGATTGAAAAAAATAACTTTATTTTTCTAACAAGTCACAAAATTTAAATCTGCATAGCTCAAATGGCAAAGCACATATTAAGAAACAGTAAGCTGAACAATTCCATTCTGATCGTGTAGAGTTACATGGGAGGCATCCTATATAGATTATTTCATATATCTTGATCAGGCAATGTGTTGTACTCAGTTATGGGTCTTGAACTTTATAGAAGTTGAAGAGCCTCTTTATAGTAATGCACAGTTATCTTGTCACACATTCAACAAACAATATGTTCCCTTTACTAAGTAAATAAACTGATTCCAGCTATTGTGCAATTTTACAACCTGAACAAGATTTATGAAACAAGCTATAAGTCAGAATGTTTAGGACTATTTCTTACAAAGAATTTGACTAACTACATTTTGTGAAAGGTTCAGCGAGTGCACAAGTATATAACAATATTTTTGAGTCACATGTACTGTCTGTTTCTGATCATTTGGAGAGACTGGTGAGTGTATCTTTCAAGATCAGTGCTCCACAGTTTAAGTAGAAAGTACCAATAAATTTTTCCTATACATACTTCAGTATCTTTCTCCTCCAGTACAAATGGTTCTAGAGAACAGAAAATCCAGCATTGAGTTGCAGTTTTAAATAGTTGTCAGGAAAGTTAAGCATGTGGCAGCACGTTAAGATCATTTATTTAAAAAAATTTTTATATTGTTTATTATTATAAAATGGCAAAAAACTTCATTTTGAGGGTAATGATGAATTTCATAAAAAAAAATTATAAATGCTAATAACAAGTAAAATCTTTATTAAGTCCAATCCCACTTGAGATATGACACACAACCCCTCCATCTCCACATCCCCTTGACCTTTAACCATCAAAATTTGATAGTACAGTATAAATTCCCCTAACACACAAACCTCCTTACAAAATTTCAGAAATTTTCAGCAAAAGATATCAGAGTTACTAAGCTTCAAAGAGGGTGAACAAAATTGCGCCCCTCTCCCACAAACAAACAAAATCCCCAACTTTTTTTTTTGCATTTCCTGATATTTCAAGGTCTGAGGCCAAAAATAATCCCCAAAATTTCTACATTTCTGAACTCTGGAGACCTTCTTGACAAGATACATATAACAGCCAAGAAAGTGTAAAAAAATTAAAAAACACTTATTAGAATTCCCTGAGCACATTCAAAAATAAGGGTTATGGCAAAAAAGCCCCTAAAGATGAGCGTATCAGGCTTGAAAGTACTCAAGCAATAATTTAGTATTNTATATGCTATATTTTTTATTTAATATTCTTCTTACAAAAATTAGAAATATAAAATAATAACTTTTTTAAACTAAATATTAAAAGTTTTATGCATTACCTCTCTATTTAAATCTAAATGTGAGAAATCTCCTCTTATCTTATCTTTAACAACCAAACGATCCACAGTAAATGAAATTTCTCTTTTATCTCGAATAATTGATACATCATGCCATAAGTAATCATCTAAAAGACTTCCCACAGACATGCTTGTTGGAATTCCTCCACCTAATTTAAATATTTTGATATTAATTGTATTTTGTTAAACATTACTGTGATTACTTTTATATTTTTTAATTTCCTTTTAATTTGTTTTAAAAATCATAATATATAGTATACAATTAAATAGTTATATAAATATTAAAATACAAAATCAAAATTTAAGAGAGACTTATAAAGCAAAATAGAGTAAAAAACAAAATTTTATGAAAATAAAGATCTATTTGTTCTCTGTTCATATTTCAAAACAAGAGAAGTGAGCATACACTCTTAGTATCCCAGTTTAAAAGTATGACACCAATTAGCTAAACTCAAAAACATTCAATGAATGCTTTTGCAGGCTACATGGTGGATAGGTTGTAATACATTTTATTTTAGCAATAATTAAGTTGCCATGTTGTATTAAATTTAATAATTAGAATAAATGAATTATCGTGACAGAAAATGAATAACAAAGTGGGACTTCTGATAAAAATGTTTAAAATATTCATTTTTAAGCATTAACTCAAAAAATTTCGTATTTTATTTTAAAATATTTAGATATATATCATCGTGTTGCATGCCTTTTATCAACTCTAATAATAAAAACGTTAGAAACAAAAAAACCGAAACATCGGTTTTTTTGTTTCTAATGTTATTAGAGACATAGATAGCATAGCTGTTTATTGCCAATAGGTTTAGCATATTATAAAACATGCATAGTGGCATAGTGTGAACTTGCTTTATTAAATCAAATTACTGTTTAAAAAACATTAGGCAAAAATCTATTTTATTAAGGTCACCAAAAATTAAAAAATTATTTAATAATAATTTAAATTATATATGAATGTTATTTAATTAATAAAAAATAGATTTATATACTGCAGAGTTTATAAAAATTAAAATTAATTGATAATGACATCATCTTTAGTTTTGATTCTGTTAGTAAAATGGCATAAAATTTTGCTGTAGTATTTTGTTTTGTTTATAAACATGGTAAAACAATTTTAGTTTTTTAAACATATATAATTATTCTAATCAACAAGATTCACTTTACAGCAATAAAAAAAAAAGGCAAAAGTTTAAATTAATTAAATTAAATTAAAACTAACTAGCATTATAATTAGCAAGACAAGTTTTAAGTATCAAGACAACAGACTTTAGAATCATCATTGATAATGAACGGTTAAAGTTCATTTCTGAATGAAGACTATAGATATATTATAATTGTAAATTTACTGATCATTGTGTTATTTATAATTTGAATAGTACACTGTAAATTTATTAACACATTTATAACTGCATCAGTTATCAAAATAATGAAGACATTATTTGCCATAAAAATTTCCTTAAATATTTTTAGTAGTAGGAAGTATTACAAGGTGGCAACATTAATTCTCCTCAACCAATAATAGTATACAATGTAGAAATCCATTCTATTTTGTAGATGAGGTTTTCTATTATGAAATAATCTAATTTAATGTGTTCTTTCCCCAATAATAAAAAACTTCTGCTGTCATGGCAATTGACTAATCAGGTAAGGCTACAGCATATCTTCAAAAATATATTCAAATTACAAACACACTTCTGATAAAATTCTATTTGGAATTCTCTTGTGTCAAATTGTTCAAGCAAGAAATTCTTATTTCTTGTCCTTAGTACCGATTTATTATTATTGATTTTTCTTTATAAATGTTAATTATTTTAGCTTATTCTATTTCTTTCCTGCGTAACATCCACAGCCTATAAACAAAGTGTTTACATCCTGTCACTTTGCTGTGACAATATGTTTATGAATGAAAAGTTAGTAGCATAACTGAAACAATTGTTTTTTTTTTTTTAAATTCCATCAAATATATAGTGAATTTTAAAAACAGAAATAAATACAGACATTTAAACAGCAGAATTTAAATGACAGCACATTACAAGAGCTGAATCAAATGACTGGGTTGTCCCCAAAACTGATAGGTATACTATTCAAGGCATGGGAAAAATATTACATAAAAAATTTTTTTAGTTCGAAATAGGAATCAGATGGGGACTAGTGTCCAGTTCAAATTAAGAAGAAATTTGAATTATAAGAGTTCAAATTAACAAGAGTCTACTGGATTTATAGAAAAATAATTGTTAAGTATTTCAAAAATTATTTCTTGAAATTTTAAATTATTCTCTCAAAATCAATTGAATTGCACTTGATCATTTCATTCTGGTTTAAGATATAAAACTACAGTTGACCCCCCTATAACACTGTTGATTTTTCCGTTTTATATGAATTCCATGTTGTACGAGTCACTTAGATTTTACAAATATGTGAGCCGTTCACAGCCCGGCACATGTATTTGTAAAATCTAAGTGACTCATACAACATGGAATTCATATAAAATGGAAAAATCAACAGTGTTATGGGGGGGTCGACTGTATATGCCAAAATTAGTTTTTGTCAAGAATGAAAAACTCAAGACCAATAAAATTAAAGACTAAAAAAATCTAAAAATAAACCCATTCATGAATCACAGAAATTATATATATCAGCAATTTTGATTTCAAAATTATAAAATTAAATAAGCTATTCTATCAAATTGAATTAGCTACTTACCTAAATCAATATTTAACAACAGCTGATTATCAATCAATTGTAAAGCAAGAATATCTCCTTGAGTTCCTCTGCTATATAAAATCACTCCTCCCATGTGATTGGTACGAAATCTGAATTGAATTTTGTCTTTTTGTGACATTACTGGATATCTCTTAAGATCCTTAACGATATAACTATTTCCATCAAAATTAACAGTGTGGGACACTAGTAAAAAAATGTATTTATTAAAAATTTGCAAAATATTGCATAAGTTCAATAAGTTAACTAAATAATAAATGTTAATACCATAAAGACATCCATATAATTCTATTCTCATAGAAATACGATCTCGCCACCTGGTAGGATTTATACGAATCCATCGTGCAATAATTGGGGTATCAAAATAATTTGTATGAACACTATCACCATCAGTGTTTCCTTTAAAAAGCTAAAATAAATATTCAATACATTAAAATCTTAACAAGGTCAGCATATTTTTTTCATAATACAACAAAAACTAAAATTTCATTACTAATAGAATTTTAAATACAGAAATTGATCTATTGTTTGATTAAATTTTTGACAAAAATAAATAATTTTCAATAAGTTAGCATGTATTTACTCAGTGTAACTTTTTGAAAATATCATACTTCAGCTTTCTATTAACCAACATTTTCTTTTTAATAAATTGTTTATACAATTTATATAACAAAATATACTCTTTATATTGTTTATTTATATAGTTTAAAATACTTAAAATTTATAAAATCATTCGCATAAACATGTATACCAACCAAATAGGAAATAATCACATTTATCCATGATACAAATTCACTTTTCATAAAAAGTACTTTCACTTTTGAAATGTGTATATACTAACAGAATATTAAAATTTAATGGTTAAATATCTACAATAAAATGACATCAATTTATACAATGACAATAAATAAAATGTCACTTTCTTTAGATAATTAGTCTTTTAATTACAAATCTTAGAAATTTTATATTTTAGGTGTCACAAGACTGCTAAAATACAAAGAATGTTTTTGTACTTAAAGTATACTTTATACATAATTTCTATTTAAAATAGTCATTTTTGAATTTAATTTGTTCTGTTTGACTGCCTGAAGACACTTTTGATAAATGAATCTTATAACTATTCATCTGTTAACAATTTTATACTACGAGTTACAACTCAAAAACTAACATTTTACAGACCATCTTCAATATTTAAATTTTTGTTATATTTAATAGTAATATTCATAACTAATTGATCAAGTTTTTCATTGATTTATGTACAGTCAAATCTAATAAAAAATTCAATGTAATTACTGTAACTTCTCCAAACAGCATGCACCAGAATATTGCAAAACTTCCTCAGAACGTGCAATTCTGTAGAAGTGCTACAATACTGCTATATAAATCATACCACTAAAATTTCCATGGAAAATAACTTACTGGTAGATAGTTTAGACAAATTTATCTTAGACTTTGTTTTTGTTTCTTTCATTTTAAATCTGTGAGGAATCTATTGTAAACAAATTTATAATTTAAGTGATACAAGATCAGAATATTTGAGATAAAATTATCTAGACTGACAGTATTGAAAATAATAAATGGTATCAAAAAACGACAAAATTTTCTGTTTCGTTTTTATTTTCTAATTATTAAATAATATTAATTTAATTAATTAAATAATCAACTTAAATTAATCCTGGGAACTTTCTGAAAAAAACAAAAACAAATCACTATTTGTTAAGTCATCATTGCAAATTTCACTTTTTTTTTTTTTTTTTGCAGGAAGTAGACATGCAAAGTCACAATTGTTACTTTGACCACATTTGAACTTTTCCCCCTTTTTAACACTGAAATAATATGTAGAAACATTTGCATCTCAAATATTCTAGTTTAAAGCAATTTTGGCTTTATGAAATTTGTTTCTGAAAATTACTTATTTTGAAAAACTTAATTATATAATTTCATTTACAATAATATACCTTTCTTCATGATATGCTAAATACGGTCCTTAGTTAAATGTTTTTGGAAAATGCCAAATTTGTGAAAATTTTTATGAATTTTTGCTTTGTTTGAGACCTCATACTTTCCTAAGGGTAAACACTTTCATTTTTTTTCTAATAAATTTTTGAATTCATGGAAATGCAACATTGCAATTTCAAATGAAAGAAAAGCAAAGCAGAAATGTTTTTATCAATTATCTTTATTTTTCAAAAATTAAAATAGCAATTTTATAAAAAAAATCAAATAAAAATGAGGAGAACTTAACTTCTTTTTTTGCCTTTAGTATTACCTTGGCAATGCTGCTATTGTGGTAACATGTGGTATGCAAATCATTACACAACAGAAGCTAGGAGGAGATGGAAGAGCAATTACAAGTAACGTCATTGTTTTCTTTATTGAAATTTTTTATTTCAAAAGAAAAGCTAATTTTGAAAATTCTCAAATGCTTTTTCATATTTTTAGGATTTAAATAACTCTGGAATGTAACACATTTGAATTACCATTCAGTTTATTAGGGAAGGCACATGTCTTCACTAAAACAAACAACTTTTACTTCCTACAAAACTTCATTGTAAAAAGGCATATAAAAAAATTAAAATGTAAACAAATGAGTAAAATGTTACAATTTTATGGAAAATTTTGTTTCTGCAAAATAAAAAAAGTGTCTAAATCTAGTTCCAGTCAAATCAAATATATTGAATTGGTCAAGAATAAAAATTTTCTTTTTATTACTCATTAAAATTTTTAAAAAATTTCTTAAAATATATTCTGATAAAATAAACTGATCAAAATCTTTGTCAAAAGCAAATAAAATAAAATAGGCATAAAACAAATGAACAAGATATCTAAAACTTACAGTAACTTGCACTTGTAAAATAAATACACACAAAAATCTAGTTTTGTTACAATCCAATAAATCATATGCAGAAATGAAAATTTGTATTTTTGATTGCTTATTTTAAAAAACAAGGATATCACTTCAGATATTCTTTTTCCTTTTTACTGTGCACATGGTAGCAATTTTCAATCATTTCCATAACTAGTCAAATGCTCCAATTGTGGAGAAAAAGTGAGACCAAATTTTTTTTCACCAAGGACTTCCGGAAACCAATCAAAGGTACTACATACTTAGTAGTATCTGATTGTTTCAAGCAGATACTATTTGTATTCACTACAGCACAACTTCTCTTGTCACATCCATCATGTAGCCATGCGCCATGGTATGTCGCACCTTAAGGATGAAGCATGTGATCCAGAGATACCATAATTAAAGAATATCCTCTTTCATGCACTTTATTCTTAGTCCATTGAATATGCTACATTTTTACCTTCATCAGAAGAAAATAAAAATGTAGCATATTCAATGGATCAAGAAACATGTCAGATTGAAAAAAATAACTTTATTTTTCTAACAAGTCACAAAATTTAAATCTGCATAGCTCAAATGGCAAAGCACATATTAAGAAACAGTAAGCTGAACAATTCCATTCTGATCGTGTAGAGTTACATGGGAGGCATCCTATATAGATTATTTCATATATCTTGATCAGGCAATGTGTTGTACTCAGTTATGGGTCTTAAACTTTATAAAAGTTGAAGAGCCTCTTTATAGTAATGCACAGTTATCTTGTCACACATTCAACAAACAATATGTTCCCTTTACTAAGTAAATAAACTGATTCCAGCTATTGTGCAATTTTACAACCTGAACAAGATTTATGAAACAAGCTATAAGTCAGAATGTTTAGGACTATTTCTTACAAAGAATTTGACTAACTACATTTTGTGAAAGGTTCAGTGAGTGCACAAGTATATAACAATATTTTTGAGTCACATCTACTGTCTGTTTCTGATCATTTGGAGAGACTGGTGAGTGTATCTTTCAAGATCAGTGCTCCACAGTTTAAGTAGAAAGTACCAATAAATTTTTCCTATACATACTTCAGTATCTTTCTCCTCCAGTACAAATGGTTCTAGAGAACAGAAAATCCAGCATTGAGTTGCAGTTTTAAATAGTTGTCAGGAAAGTTAAGCATGTGGCAGCACGTTAAGATCATTTATTTAAAAAAATTTTTATATTGTTTATTATTATAAAATGGCAAAAAACTTCATTTTGAGGGTAATGATGAATTTCATAAAAAATTATAAATGCTAATAACAAGTAAAATCTTTATTAAGTCCAACCCCACTTGAGATATGACACACAACCTCCCCCTCTATCTCCACATCCCCTTGACCTTTAACCATCAAAATTTGATAGTACAGTATAAATTCCTCTAACACACAAACCTCCTTACAAAATTTCAGAAATTTTCAGCATAAGATATCAGAGTTATTAAGCTTCAAAGAGGGTGAACAAAATTGTGTCCCTCTCACACAAACAAACAAAATCCCCAACTTTTTTTTTGCATTTCTTGACATTTCAAGGTCTGAGGCCAAAAATAATCCCCAAAATTTCTACATTTCTGAACTCTGGGGACCTTCTTGAAAAGATACATAAAACAGCCAAGTGTAAAAATTTAAAAAAACATTTATTAGAATTCCCTGAGCACATTTAAAATAAGGGTTATGACAAAAAAGCCCCTGAAGATGAGTGTATCAGGCTTGAAAGTACTCAAGCAATAATTTAGTATTGTTATTTTTCTAATGTTATTGTCTATAAAAGTAAGAAATTAAATTTCTTAACAGCATATTAATTAATTAAAACAGCCACATGGGCAAAAAACAGCCTAGTTCTAAACCTTAAATAGAAAAAAAAGAAGGCAAATGGGCAGTGCTGTGCAGATAAGAAACTTCACAGACATTGCCAATTACAAGAACTCATAAATCTCTGGTGACACAATATGTCTGTAGATTACATCAGAAGTTTCTTTGTTCATGTCTCAGCATTATTATAAAACCATCAAGGCAAGGAGAGAACCAATAAAATATTAAAAACAACATTCTTATTAAAAATAATGCATTTGTACAAGGTTTATAGTATTAATAACTGTAACTACTTGCAAGATTTACTGTACTGTTTGTCATTATCCATTTCCAAGTACAAAATCTTCCTTCTTTAGGACTAATTTTTCTGTGAAATATTCTCAATTTATCTAAGTAAAACCTCCATTTAAAATTCAGTGGAGTAAGTTCAAGTAACTTCTATTAGGTAATTTAACTGTGCATGTATGAATGCACAGAGTTTTGTCATCCATAAACATGAAGTAAGATAATATGTATTATTCTATTTCCTTGAATTAGATGATGTATCCATATTTAGTGTTTAGTGTTGTTTAACCTATTACACCTATGGGTTTAAGGCCAAACAGTAGTAGTAGATTTAACGACACTTCCTAAAAAACGTCTCACCTTATGTGTATTTGGTTTGTTTTAATGTACGTATCTTAGGTGTAGTGTTGTTTGCCAATGTTGCATTGTTTTTCAAGA